TCGATTTCTATGTGGTTAGTGCTTTGAACAAAGTCAATTTAGAGGACGGTATCAGGACTAAATACGGAAAATATAGCATCAATTAAACCAGTCAACCAGAACCATTGTGATGCCCACTCTACAAAAAGGAGAAAAATTAAATGTATATGAAAGGATTGATTCCACTTTGCACCTGAGTTTATAATTTTTTTTTTATCTTAGACCTTAAAAGATTTTTTCTTTTTTAAGATCCAATGTTTTGAATACTTGAACTATATAAAAATTAAAATGTCCTGTCCCATTGCAAATTTGAATTTTCATCATGTTAATTAAACAGGAAGGACTATTTATTCGCATAAACTGAATACAAACGTAATCACTAACAACAAAAAGTAAATAATGGCAAGTTAATCTAACAATAATCAAAGTTTCATATTCTTTCTTTTTAATCAGGCAATAAATGTTAACAATTTTTTTTTCCATTTTTGAGAAGACTTCTTCTCCTTTTTTTTTTTTAAATATTAATTCGTACAGTATCTTGTCAAGCAAAAATTGGGCTGGTCATCAAGAGACGGGCCAGTTGTATTGGGCTATTGACAGTGAAATGTCTTCCTGAGAAACCAACATCACCAAGTGAGGGCCATCCAAGCGGGATCCAAGAAAATCCCAGGCTACTGCAATTGGCTACTTACAGGCCAGCTTCACTTTATAATGAACCCAAATGCAGCCAATTTGAGTTGAGTCATCTTGCTCTATGAGCCCAGTTAGCAGTTCCTTTTTTTTTTTTGAATAAGTGAAAAATTTTGAGTTTAGAATATTGTACTTATAATTTCTTCCATCCCATTGCTCAACCCAACTCTCTTCCAATAGATTTGATTAGATACTTTCTTCTATCAAGCATATGTCTGTATGATTTGCTTTATCGGATTTATTAGTCAAAAAGTTTCTAATGGGAATGATTGGCTATTATGAGATTAATCAGTACCCAATTCTTGAGGTTTTAGTGGAGCATATCATTGCAATTTACAGAATTCCATGATCATCTAGCTTTGGAATATCGTTGACAATGGTGTTAGATGAATTTGGAAGTGACGACTAGAGGTGCAAACGAGCCGAGTTTTGGCCTAATCAAGCCGAGGTTCTAGTTAATTTTGTGAAACTCGAACTCGACAAGCTCAAAATGTCGAGCTCGAGCTTAAAAAATAAAAAATAAAAAAAAATTATTTTAAAAAATAAAAAAAATATTTATTTTTAAAAATGAATAAAATAATAATTTTTTAACAAATAATAAAATATTAGGAATATATGTGTAATTTTACTATTAAAATAAAATATATATATATATATATATATAATTGAGCTCGTGAATCAACAAGTTTAATATTTTTGAGTTCGAGCTCGTACTTGAGCCGCTCACGAGCCGATTCGTGAACACCCCTAGTGACGACAGACCTAGTTCCAGGAGAAGGGGCGCTAGAAAAGTGCTTTGTTTGTTAGTCTTCGAAAAATGATGATTAGCGTGGAAGTCGAAAATGATAATTAAATGAGCTATAGATCTCTGATTGCATTCTCTTTCTATGAATCTATAGATATTACTTTCCTAGACAATGTATATAACTAGCATGTTTAAATACATGTCACAGTAACATAACACTTTGAATTTAAAAACAAATAAGTTTGTATAGACTATAGACACTGATAATGTAAAGGGTTAATTTCACATAGCTCCCGTGACGTTTTTGACAATTGCAAAAAGCTTCGTTCAAGTTCTAAAAATTACACCTATCTCTCCTATTTTCACTTAAGTAACATTTTAGGTTCAAAAGGCTATACTTTTATTCAAAATTCCTATAATGCCCTTGAGTTATAATTCACAACAAAAATTTAAAGGAAAAAAATGGTTCACGGTTTCTATTTTATTTATCTTTACTTGCTATCACTATTACCTACGTATCAATATCGTAATCACCATTAAATAAATACTTATTTTTGTTCTCATGTTCTTCTTTTACCTAAAAATTTGTTATGCAGATCATTGTATCAATTATAAACACTACATCAGATATCAAAAAACTTACCTACAATCTCATAACAATATTAGATTTTACTTAATACATTCATCAATATCCCTAAATTTCAATTCCACGGCTGCCACATTTTTAATACAAAATAATCTAAACCATCACTACTAATATCAATATCCAATATACTCCACTGGCGGAGAATTCAAAATCAATCAAATTCTTTCTATAGGAATAATATCAATAATTCTAAATCAAAAATAGAACGCAATGCAACTATAAATATATACTAAGAACACTTTTTTTTCATGGGAATCATAACAGTATAACCTATATTTAGTTCCTATTCCACTTTCTATCCTTAATTTTTATTTTTGATCACCGTCACTATCTTCATTCCATCTAATTTGCTAATGAAATTAGCACTCAATTTGTCATTTGATAATATCAATTTGCTAATGCCTATCAAAATTGGGAAACAAAAATGGGCGCAAGAAAACTATTTAATAATAATGAAAAATCGAGAAATGGGAATATATACCAAGATATGTAAGTATTGGTGGTTTGGTGTGTATGATAATTTTATTAGTGGCCACAGTGCACATTTTGTTGATAATAATAAATAAATGAGTTTGAAAGGAAAATAAATATAGGAGGAAGAAGTTAGATAGTTAAATGGGAAAGACTGTAGTTTGAATTATTGATTGATAATAGATGAAAGAGATTTAATATTTGATAGAATTTTTCAATGAGTTGACAATTAATGAAGGGTATTGTTGTCTTTTTATCACACCAAAGGAGGTCTCCGTAATTATGTAAACCTCAAGAGAGTCAAGTGAAATTATCGAAAATCTCAGGGGAAGTTTCTAAAATTATCCCTAATGTAAATGTTCATGTAAGAAAGACTGATCCTAAATTTATGCCGTATTCCAAAAAACCGCATAATTTGTGAGCCATTACTTTGGGTAGAAGTAAGAATCAATCAGTTAATTGGTCAATCAAGTTTAAGCATAAGAATAAATAATACATGTGATTTAAAAGAAATTGAATTTGGTTAATTGGTTAAATTGAGATCAAAGTTTTGAAACCGCCACTGAGAACCAAATTAGAATCGTATTAACCGAAATCGATAAACTGAATCCGATTCAATTCGGACGGAAATTTAATTAACCGAATTGTTGCTCACCCAATATTTTGGGGTGTGATGTGTTTATGAACACATAAATAAGGAACCAAAATAATTGAAGCATTCCTTTCTCAAAGTAAAATATACACAAACATTAAGGTGTTCCATCTTTTCCCCCCTTTTTGGGCCAGACAAGGGCAAAATCTCACATCATCAATCAACCCTTCTTCTTGATTGATGAGGGATAATATAATCATTTTAATTCGAAATTGATATGACAATAAAGTCAAATATGTGGCAATATCATCAGCCCTTTTTTTTTTTTTAATCTTATCAACACTCTTATTTTATTTTATTTTGCAAGACTCAATAATTCAAGCTTAAAAGAGTACTGTTTTAGCTAGGTTATAATAACAGCTATCCATATCTCACCGGTGGCTAAATTATGCTGGTTAGAGCAGGAATTAATGCGCCGGATCTCTATATCAAGGTGCAAGGCATGTAACTCAAACAAAATCATATGAAAGACCCCATCTGTTGTGACAGTGACTACAACACAGAGGAAAAGAACAAATTAGCACTGTCTCTGATTTGAGGGCAAGCTTTGTCGGTTTATTTGGACCGTCTTAGCCGAATTCAACACGTCTGTTTGACAATTTATAATTTACAAATGTCGGCTGAAAACGTGTTTTTTTTTTTACCATGCAAAATGAATCCGGACGTTCTTCAAAAGTTAAAGTGCTGATATAATGTAGATTTCCCCCGATATAATGTAGCTTTCCCCTAAAATTACTCGGCCAAATTCCTGCATCAAAACTTCCACATCAATAATAATAGGGTTAATTACATTTACATCCCCTGAGGTTTGACCATATTACCAATCAATCCCTATAATTTATTCAAATAACGGTCTCACCTTTTGAATGATCAAACATTTAACAAAAACCCCCTTAATGCCGAAAATGCCCTTATTGAGGCCATGTTGCATTAAAAAAAAGAACATATTTTTATTTTATTAACTCTGAAGCAATCCAAAAAAATAGAAAAAAGTTTTTGCTTATTATTTTATAAAAACTATATCATTGCTTCTATAAATAGTTTTGAATCAATAATTATTTTAAATCTTAAAAATAAATATTAAAAATTAGATAAATTGAAAGAAAAATAAAAAAAGAAGAAATTATTTTAATTCCTGAAGTATGGTTCAAATTGAGGAAAACATGCCTTGTACTCTCCGCAACATGCTTTGAACCACAAATTCGAACCATACTTGAGGATTTAAAATAATTGCTTCTTTTTTATTTTTCTTTCAATTTATCTAATTTTTAAGATTTAAAATAATTATTGATTCAAAACTATTTATGGAGGCAAAGATATGATTTTTATAAAATAATAAGCAAAAATTTTTTTCTATTTTTTTGGATTACTTGAAGGTTAATAAATAAAATATATGTTCTTTTTTTAATGCAATATGGCTTCAAAAAGGGCATTTTCGGCATTAAGAGGGTTTTTGTTAAATGTTTGATCATTTAAAGGGTGAGACCGTTATTTGGACAAATTACAGGGATTGATTGGTAATATGGTTAAACCTCAGGGGAGGTAAATATAATTAATCCATAATAATAATGTCTATCATTTCTTAGTTTCATCCATGCAGACCCATTTTTGCCTCAATGTCAAGCTTTTCCCACCAAAAGGGCCCCAAGTTAATGAAGTCCATCAAACATGAGCCAGATCTTCAGCTAACACAGTCGATCACATTTAATTTGAATGTTGATATGGCCATATGAATAGTAGCCCAAAATCCAGTATAAAATGCCATGCAAATCCCATCACAAATTGCATCGAGTATTGCAAACTCAATCATGTCATCTCTTGCATGCTTCTGGGCATTCTTGATTGGGGTGGTGCTTCTCACCACTCCCTCTTTGGCTGATTATTCCGGAGCACCCCCATATGAGCATCACCATCCTCCACCGTACAAGAAGCCTCCAGAGCCAATCCACTATCCACCTCCAGTCGTGAAGCCTCCGGTCGAGCCCAAGCCACCAATTCACCATAAACCACCACCTTATGGCCACTACCCACCTCACGAGCCGCCACCTTATGTTCCCCAGCCACCAAAGTTGCCACCAACTCCGCCACCAATTCACAAGGAGCTACCACCTTATGGTCACTACCCACCTCACAAGCCGCCACATTATGTTCCCCAGCCACCAAAGCTGCCACCAATTCACAAGAAGCCACCACCTTATGGTCACTACCCACCTCACGAGCCGCCACCCTATGTTCCCCAGCCACCAAAGTTGCCACCAACTCCGCCACCAATTCACAAGGAGCTACCACCTTATGGCCACTACCCACCTCACAAGCCGCCACATTATGTTCCCCAGCCACCAAAGCTGCCACCAATTCACAAGAAGCCACCACCTTATGGCCACTACCCACCTCACGAGCCGCCACCTTATGTTCCCCAGCCACCAAAGTTGCCACCAACTCCGCCACCAATTCACAAGGAGCCACCACCTTATGGTCACTACCCACCTCACAAGCCGCCACACAAGCTACCACCTTATGGTCACTACCCGCCACCTTATGTTCCCCAGCCACCAAAGCTGCCTCCCATTATCATCAGGCCACCAATTAAGCCACCAACTCCGCCACCAATTCACCAGAAGCCACCACCTTATGGTCACTACCCACCTCACAACCGCCACACAAGCCACCACCTTATGTTCCCCAGCCACCAAAGTTGCCACCAATTCACAAGAAGCCACCACCTTATGGTCACTACCCACCTCACAAGCCGCCACACAAGCTGCCACCTCATGGTCACTACCCACCTCACAAGCCGCCACACAAGCCACCACCTTATGGTCACTACCCGCCACCACCTTATGGTCACTACCCGCCACCACCTTATGTTCCCCAGCCACCAAAGTTGCCACCTTATGTTCCCCAGCCACCAAAGTTGCCACCAACTCCGGCACCAATTCACAAGAAGCCACCACCTTATGGTCACTACCCGCCACCACCTTACTGAGTTGCCTTTGCAGCTTCATCAACATGTGTAATAAGATTAGTTACTAGAATAAGAGCTGATGTTGGCAATATGCGTTTCATGAGATGTATTTACTTTCCACTTGATCCACCTTTATAATACTAATAGATATGTCTATGGCATTACTGAGTTGTTTCTCATTCTATCCATTACTGAAGCTGCCTACGAACAATTTCACATTGAGCATTGATGAGAAATTAATATTGAGTTTATGACGAATTTTGGTGTCACTAATAGTTGAGGGCTTACGGTCTACTGTGAGATGGTCCATGCAGCACGGGTTCATAGAAGAACTTTCAACAATTTTACAGCTATGATTTTTTGGTTTTCGTGCAAAAAGCTGTATTATTGGTTCATTCATTATTGTGTTAGTGGGGATAAAGATGGTTTTCAAGCTACCATGCATGTGACAAATGTAGGGTCTTGGCTAGCCAAAAAGCGGGTAGGTTTATGCTAGGAGGTTTTTTTCAATTGATAATCCTCGTTAAGATGGTGCCCCATGCACCGAATATTAAAGGACATGGATTCCAGCCTAAATACAAAAGCTTTGAGAAAAGGCCCACAATAATTATCTATACCAAGGGATATAATCAATCAGATACTCAACATGATGGCCAACAAAAGCCTGCTTGCAGGTTTAAGTTTGGAAACCTTTAGCCCTTCTTCAAGAAGCAATTGTAGTTTTTACTGTTTTTGTGCGTCATTTTCGACCCCTTTGTTGCATTTTACTTATGCTTCTTCTACTTGTGTCAGTGTCATAAGTTGTACAAAATACCATATAACCTCAAGTTTCCCTTGGACGCCTGTCGCGAGATTTGCATGGACTTATTTTCTTCTCTGATCAGCTTCAAACTCTCCAAATTGTCAACTGATATAAAACTGACAAGCTTGTTTGTACTTGCACCCATGCGCATAACAAACGGAAATCATCAACGTTTTCAACTCATGGGACCAATCAATTCTACCTAAAATTCTTACTACTCGTCACCTGGGGCAGGGTGGCACCTATCAATTACAAACATTTATAACTCGAATATATGATTGTTTTCTTACCCGTGTAGTCATGTTACAGTCTCTTGAATGGGTTTGTTTGAATTGCTTCATATTTTTCCAATTTTATTTGCTTACATCATTTTTACAATTTCCAATACATCTTTTTATCTTCCCAATATCTTTTTATCTCACATACATCACATTACAAAAAATGCTACAGTAAAAATATCTCAAATAATCCCAAATAACTTACAATCCAAACAGACCAATTAATTGTATCACTCGCTCCATGAACTACGTCGCAAAATTAGATAACCCCCAGCAATGATATTCCCATGCATGACAATTTTACCAAATCAAACATCCAGTTAATGTGTATTATGATTTAGAAGGTATGAATGCCTTCTTTTTGAGCGATCGGTAGTGAAAGCATGCTTAACTTGGAATATTCATTGTAGAAAATGTAGAGTCACAAGTTTGAAGGTTTTTTTTTTCTTTTTTTATTCAGTTGATAGTCAGAGGCTATTGTTAGAACTAACTATATACCAAAGTAACGGACGTACCTAGGAAGTAAATTATATATTCTTTCTAGTAAAATTAAACCAAAATTATTATTGTAACAGACTTGTGAACCATTACCTTTTTAGAGTACAACTTTTGTGAATAAATAAAGGGTGATAGAACTTAGAGGTGAGGTAGTTTATTTTCGATGTAAATAATGCAGAATGTTTTTAAGACGATGATTTAAAAGAAGAAACTTAGATATATATTGGATTTTGTTAGCAGAAGTGGGATTAATGACATATTTACAAGGGTAAATTACATTTTACCCCCCTGTGATTTACCCTTTTTTTACATAACCCCCTATGGTTTCAAAAGCTATACATAACTCCCTCATGGTTTGGATTAAAGTGTCAAAGTAACGGAAATAGTCACTCGTAACGGAACTTCTTAAAATGTCGAAATTACCCTTATAAATACATGACACATTAACCCCCTATGATTTTTATATTTTACCATATAACCCCCTTATGATTTAATACTTTACCATATAACCCCCTTATGATTTTCAAAATATACACATAACCCCCCTTGGTTAATACATAAATTTCAACCTTACATAAGGGTATTTTTGACATTTTAGGTGACGCCGTTACGAGTGACTATTTCCGTTACTTTGACACTTTAATCCAAACCATAAGGGGGTTATGTATAGCTTTTGAAACCATAGGGGGGTTATGTAAAAAAATGCTAAACCACAGGGGGGTAAAGTGGAATTTGCCCTATTTACAAGTACACAATCTAGTGAGTCTTGACTGGTTGGTTTTTACTAGAATGATTGCTTGGTGGGAAATCATGTATCTGCCTCGAATGATTGTAATCGTCCATCACAGAGTACGATGATATTTAACTACTTTGAAAGTTTGTGGCATACTTTCTTGTCCCCCTTTCGCCCGACTTTTTCCTCCAAAAATAGCATAGTTCTTTCAACCCTTTGAATTTATCTTAATTTGATTTTTGGGGTCATTAGTGTTATCAATTTGTCGATAAAAAATTGATTTCATGCTTTAACCATATGTAATAATATTGTAACATAAACGTAACTTTTTCATACCTATATGAAGTAATCTGTCATAGGTGTAATTTTTGTTTCCCTCGGTGCCTCCAAAAAATAATCTATTTCATTCAATGAGTTTATATATTTGCAACCATAATTTGAAGCAATAAAATATAAAATTCTTACTTCTTAATTAAAGTACAAAGAAAGAACTATAAATTTTATATTGTAGAATATGAATCTTTTATCTCCAAAATTGTCCCCTCCCCCTCCCCCCTCCCCCTCACACAAAAAAAATACCAGTAACAATCTTCAGAAAAAAAAATGATGCAAATGAGGGAGTTTGTTTCGATTCAAGGAAAGCATATAAGATGTTTGGATTCTTCAGTTTTTCAAAAACTAGTTTTTCAAATATTATAAAATTTTTTTAAAAGTAATCTAAAAGGTACTCTAAAAAGTAGTCTAATTTTTTTTAATGTTTAAAAAATATCCCAAGATATATTTTAAAAACTCTACTACTCTTAAATATTTCAAAATATTTTCTAAAAATATCCCAAAATATACTCTAAAAACTTTGCTATAGTAAAATTTTTCAAAAATACCCCAAAAACAACTAATCCAAATGAAGATAAATTACTAATAGATAATCTATTGAGTCTTGACTAGATAGATTTTATTGGAATGGTTCTCCCGTGGGAAGTCATGTGAAGAAGCTTAAGGTTGTGTTTGGATTGCATTTTATAGAATTTTTTATAAAAAAATTATTGTAACTATTTGATATATATGAGAAAAAAGGATAATAAAAAAATATAATTACAAAAAATGATGCAATTTTTTGATAAAAAATGGCTATCCAAACAAAATCTAGTAAGTCTTGACTAGTTGGTATTTACTGGACTGGTCCCCTGGTGGGAAATCATGCAAAGTAGATAGGGACATATCCTGCAGCAAATGATGACCGTGGCACAATCTTCCATGACAGATGATGATGATATTTACCCACTTTGAAAGTTTGTGGAAAAAGCCAAAAAGGTTGGGAAAAAAGTGATTTGATTTTGCATGGAATCAGGTTTAAACATTCAACACGTATTTTGACTTTTCACTAAGAGATGTGTACAAGGGAGGTTTGTTTTGGATTAAAAAGTTAATCTTAGATATTAAAAAAATAATCAATAGTGCTCTTAAGCAGTTTGGTCACCATCATAAAAATTTCTAAAGCACAACAACACATAGGAAAGCCCCAGCCAATATTAAAAAAAAGAAGCAGCTTAAATGTTCTTCCTTCTTTGATTTTACTGTATTCACTACAAGGTTTGTTGTAAATATCATCATCTAGCAGAATTGCGGCTAATTCCTTAGATGATCGATGAAAAAGGAAAAAAATTCAATCAATTATTGATCTGACAAGAGGCTTTTGTAAAACTATGCTTGCCAGAGTCAGTACGACAGGGAGAAGTGTATATATATATATATTCGTAAAAGATGCTCCAAAAAGAAGGCCTGACAACATTTCTTTTCAAAAAACAAATCTTGTCCCCTGCCGGTGTGATCCAGCGCAGCAGGGGTGATCCTTTTGGGAAAAAAAAAAAAAAACCTGAAGCATTTTTTTTTAATAAATTTTCAGAATGCTGCCTGCTGCCGGGCTAAGGTGATTCTTTTAGGGAAAAAAAAAAAGTGCACCTGAACCAGGGATCGGCTAATCAAAGCCGAAATAAGGACCAGTAGTTTCACATGCACATGTTCATTGCTCAAAATGTTGTGTTCAAAATCATTGCTCACAAAGTTTCTCTAAAATCACTTGTCATTGGATTCTCTTATTCATCTTACTATAGGAGTATGGGATTGTTGATATTCTTCAAGTTTGATGGAGTTTTAAGCATCTTTTGCCTAAACCAAGGACTTATACAATTGTGCTTCTTTTTTTTTTTTTTGTTTTAAAGTACAATAATGTTATATATTTCAAAATACAACAATATAACTGATTAGATGAATAATTTTAGTTATGCAGCTATATATATATATATATATATATATATATATATATATATATATATATCAAAATACAATTTTATTTGTACTACAATATATATATTTCAAAAATTCAACTCATATAATAATTTTATTTGTTACATGAGTTTTACTTTGGAATATAAATACAATTTTATTTGTACTACAATATATATATATTTCAAAAATTCAACTCATATAATAATTTTATTTATTACATGAGTTTTACTTTGGAATATATATTTTATATATATAGTTGCATAACTAAAATTATTCATCTAATTAGTTATATTGTAGTATTTTGAAATATATAACATTATTGTACTTTAAAACAAAAAAATTAAAGGCAAAAAATAGAAAATTTTATATGCTACTACGGGCTCTTTATTGTTATGAAAGTTATTGTGAGTTCTAATTTTCTACCTCTCTTACCTATCTTTTTCTTCAATTAGATAATTCTGCAAATTGATCATAGATTAATTGTAAAAGTTAGGGTTCCACGATTTACACTGGGAGAAAACAAGGGACTTATTAGTAATTGAATATGTCAAACTCGGGCCTGTTATGATTTCACAATTACAACTCTAATTCAATAG